CAACCGAAAGACGTGCTATTCAGTGGTATACGAACGATTCCAAAACCATAGAAGAAACTGGAATAGGAGTGTATGGGCCGAGAACCAAGCACTCCGAAAGCTTGGGAAATACCCAAGCATCTTCCAGGCTGAAATTCATGCCCGAGAAGTGTATCCAGTTTAACATCGAGAGAAACTATCACAGACAAGAGATTATCATCATTTCCGATAGATAGTCAAGCAGCCATCAAAGCGCTGAGCTCTTACGTAATCAGCTCAAAAATGGTCTGGAGATGCTTAGAACCATTGAATGAGCTATGCGAGAAAAATAGAGTTACTTTCACTTAGGTCCCGGGACATAACGGGGTACAGGGTAACGAGATTGCAGATGGTCTTGCAAGGTAAGGGGCTCAAATACCCTTTGTAGGACCTGAGCCGTTCTGCGGTATCAGCAGTAACATAATATTAGGAAAGATTAAAAAAGAATTGGGCAGTAGAAGAACCGATAATTGGAACAATCTCTTGGGGCTGAGACAGGCCAAGATACTTCTGGGTGAATATAAGCAGAAAATAACGGAAGCCTGCATCTGTCTGAGCAAGAACAGGCTAGGTATTGTAACAGGGATCCTTACCGGGCATGGCCGACTAAAAGAACACCTAAGTAAACTAAAAGTAGTAGAGGATAGTGAGTGCAGATTCTGTGAGGAGGAGGTCGAAACCTTCATTCACATCCTGAATGTGTAGCATTCCAGAATCTAAGGGCACTATATCTAGGAGGATATCAAATAGAAGAGGGAGATTTACCTAACTTGAAGCAACTTCAAATCCTACACTTCCTTAAGAAAATAGGATTGGAAGGGTCGTTATAGGCATTGAGACATTTCCTTGGTGCATTAGCGACAAAAGGGGACACACTAGATCTTTTAGATCGCAGTGTATTAACAGCCCATTCCCAACATAATATAACATACTATTATCACAAATAATTTCCAATGCGACGACCGGTTCTCGTCCGATCACCGCAGTTAAGCCGTGTTGGGCGCGGTTAGCACTTGGATCAGTGACATCAACACACTATCAAAGATGTTAGTTTCTTTAAACGTATCTTCTTGTCCTGCTACAAGTTACGATTTTATGCATATAAAATCTCTCGAAATAATTAAATATATTTCGCTTCAGGGAGATTACCTTGATTATCGCAGGAAAAGTATCATTCTGATTTTATTATTACAAGAATTAGAATGGTGACAGAAAAATTTGGGAGTAGGTCAAGCTATAAAAGTTAAGCTGCTCTCGAGAAAGGTATTTTCAGATGCTTCACAAACTGGTTGGTGTGCCTTTGTATGGTTTTTAATACCATGGGTTTTGGGAGAACCAAGAATTAAAACTGTACATTAACTTCTTAAAAATCAAGACAGTATTTTATGCTTTAAAATCTCTTGCTAAAGACCTAACAGATGTTTGCAAATTATAGAGGATGAGAAACAAACAGCCATGTCTTGTATAAATCGAGGTGGAAGCATTAAATATTCGTGTTCGAATATTGTATAAAAAAAAGTTGTTGAAATTGCGTGAGATGCGGCATATTTTAGTTTTTGCCAGTTATATCTCGTTGAGAGCAAATAAAAATTCAGGCGAGGTCAATTGTCATAGATATAAATTAAACGACAAAGTATTTATGGATATTGTAAAAAGGCTTAATTATCTGGAAATAGATTTGTTTGCCACAAAAATAAATTAGAAAATATCTTAAGATTTATTTCATGGTTTCCAGATCCAGAATCTGGATACATTTGCCTTAGATTGGACAATGGTCAAGATATTAATTTTATGCCTTTCCTGGTTTTTACTATCACAAGAATTAAAAAAAAAAAAAGAAAAAATTCAAACCAGTAAAATATTTGCTTATCTCTCCTTTTAGGAAGAGCCATCCACGCTACAAGATTTCCCTGGTGGAAAATCCACAAAAAAATTCATTTATAATTGCTTCTTTTACAATATCAATAACATCATTAGTTTTTAAGTTCGGTACAATATGCGATTGTCATGGCATTGTTATTGCTATGTTCTCCCTGTTTTTCTTTTTTTATAAGTGTGTCACTGCGAATACTGATTTTTAAAGCACCTCCAATTCGTTAAGGCACAGATAAAAATGGTATGAAAGATTCGTTTATTTCTCCTTGGTAAAGTACCCCATCAAATTGAAAACAAATTGCCTATTGTCTCCAATTATCGTGTTTCCAGGAATATTATTAATATTTCATGGCTTGAAAGGAAATGACAAATTGACAAAATACATGTTTAAAACTTGTGCATACTTCAGTAAACAGTTACTAACTCGATCATGACGTATTTAAAAAGACACGTAAATTTTAGTAAATTGTTCATTGTATATAGTTAGATCACACATATGCCCTTATGATTCTACTTATACAAATGATAAAATCAACAGTTTTGTTTTCGTAGTCTTTCCAATTATTGGAAATTATAAATTTAATCAATAACATTCAGCTATTATCTAATGGCAGTCATAAAGTGGGCCATGTACGCATAGGAAAATGGGAAGCTATGGCCTACCTCTGCCAATCCAATCTGTAAAAAATAAGACGAACAGAATAGCTCTATCCATGCATTTACCATGGGAGTGGTAGAAGCCCACGCAATGGCCACATCTAGAGACACCTCTCGGCCGCCTTATAAAGCTGTATAAGCTGAGAGACTGTCTGCCCCTAGATACCTCTATAACCAGCAGGTCCTATGTACCTCTGGAGGATGCACAATGGGCATAGTAAGGCTCAAGTTATGTGGAACAACCCACCCTTCCAAACTTACAGATAAAATACCTGATCTAAATTTCGATACCTTTTTGCCAGACTATCGTAAGTGCCATTTGAACAAATGTCTCTTACGTTAGTCTGGCAAAAAGGTATCGATTTGTAAAAGTTCAGCTGAACGGTGTATTTGTACCAAAATACTTATTAGGTAACAAGTGTTAATGCTAATGATGTACAAGTTACAACATAAATCCCTTATTATTGACAGCTTGAATCTAAATATTTTTTTATTAGGAATTATACAGCGCAAGTACCGAGCAGTTGTATTATTTTTAAATTTTGAATATTTTGTCAAAAGTTGTTAAAATCCATGCTTATTTATTATGTATATTCTCTATACTACTTATAGTACGTATTGAGGTTAAATTTAAATTTTGAGATTCTTCTACAATGATTTTGTTATTACAGATAGAAGAGGAGCAGTTGATATGACTTATTTAATCGTGTGCTTTAAATTGACTGTACTCTGTTCCAATGATTTCCTGGTCTATTGATGCAATCCCTAATATAATGTGACCTGGGCTGGATATAACCGCCACTGGTATTATCCTTGATTGAACAGTTTAAAAACATTTTTTTAGCTCTCTAACCAAGTTCATTATTCTAGACTGACTGGGTTAAAATGATTTTCTTTTTATACCTACATCTCATTTTTATTCATATTTTCTCTACAGTTTAGTTCGGCGCCCGACGAGTGAGTGCACCAGTGGAAAGTTTTAAATTAGCATCCCAGCATCATCCTATTTTATATTTAAATACTTTTAAAATGTTGATCGCCTCCTGAACGTATACCCGATTATTTGATAATAGTTTACCTTTTTCTGACAAAGTAAAATTGCCTTTTATATAGAGGGTCAAATCGAATTAGATTTTTATCTGCAAACTGTCAAAGTTTCGGAGCTCATTTATTATAGACAGAAAATGTGATATTAGGATTGTTAGGTGATGAATAGAGCTATATAATGTAAGGCACTGTTTTAAAAATATGTTTGGTTTTGATTGTTTATATTACCATGATACGCTTTGAGTGATGTTGCCGCTATATTAACTTTGAATATTGCCATGTTGGCGAAATTAGGTATTTGAATGACTATAGTTAGTCAAGCTTGGTAATTGAGCATCTCGGCGTTGCTTTGTATTTTAATTATTAAAACTCGTTGTTTTTGGAATTTAAACATTTGTTTTCTTGGATATTCTTACATATCAGAAGTTGGATAGTGAATCCAGTGATCGCCCGTTGATAGTGACAGTATTTAGAAGTGTTGTTGTGTATTTCTGTGTTTAATAAATCGTGACAGCGAGTGATGATGAGAAAAACCCATTATGACTGTTTTTTAATTGGAATTTAATTCTAATTTTTAGTAGACACCGACAATTCATGTACAGTAAATCGGCAAAATATTTTAGAGAAACTGCAACTTAAAATTGACGCTGGTAAATCATAAGTTTTGCGAAGCTTTGTAGACAGTCGCGTTGTTTCTCAGGGTACTGTAAAATGTACGTTAAGCGTTTTTGTGCTAGACAACAATAAGATGATACATGAATATATAATCGGACGTGATTTTATTAAATTGCCGAATGTAATGCTGATAAAGAGAGGAACAGATATTATATTCGTGAATGGGAATGAATAACGAACTAGTAAACGATTTAAGTTGCTTTGAAATTGGAAACTTCGAAATTGTAGATAAACAATAAACAAAAACTTGAGTTTGAAACACTGATGGGTGAATTTAAAGATTTAATTTCAAGGTCCATGGTTGAACTTGGAAAAACTGACAGTGCACATATTGAAATTAAAGAAATCGACATCGATAAGTGGAACACACGTGTAAAGGAGTTACAAAGTGCTTTATATACTTCATTTAATAAGAACATTTTTGGCAGTTTTAGCGTTATTTGGTTATCAAACAAAGCCGATGGCAGAAGCTTATTTTTTAAACTTGATTTAGTCATCAATCGATCATATTAATATTTCCGAATTAAGAAGTAAAGTTAAAGAACACACTGATCACGATCAACGTAAACAGAAGTAACCTTATCATAAACAAATACGTGAAGCGGAGCAATTCGAAATTGGTGACTTGGTTTGAGTACTGATTATGAGCAAGGCATGTACCAGGGCTAGCATGAAATTACTACTTAGCAAAGTTCAAAGGACTATTTTAAATAACAAAAGTGCTGTACATTATACAATGATCGATACGAAGCATTACGAAGACGAAAATTTGCGCAAACGGAGTTGCATGTTGGTTGCAGCTGACAAACTCGCCAGATGGGTAATATATCAGGCCGATACTGCCTCGGTGGGCCAACTGCTTGTTTGTTCCAAAGTTTGAGGCCGATTCTGCCTCGGTGGGCCGACACTGCCCGTTTGTTTCATAGTTTAAGGCCGATACTACCTTTGTAGATCGATACTGTCCAATGCGATGGCCTTTACTGCTATATTTCAAGGCCGATACTGCCTTTGTGGACCGATACTGTCCGATACGATGGCCGTTACTGCCATATTTCAAGGCTGATACTGCCTTTGCAGACCGATACTGTCCTATACGATGCCTGGTACTGCCATATTTCAAGGCCAGTACTGCCTTTGTGGACCGATACTGTCCAATACGATGGCCGTTACTGCCATATTTCAAGGCCGATACTGCCTTTGTGGACCGATACTTTCCGATACGATGGCCGTTACCGCCATATTGCAAGGCCGATACTGCCTTTGTGGATCGATATTGTCCGATGCGTAGGCCGTTACTGCCATATTTCAAAACAGATACTGCTTTGGTGGGCCGATACTGCCCAATGCGATGGGCGTTACTGCCATATTTCCAAGCCGATAACGCCTTAGTGGGCCGACACTGCCCGATGCGATAGCCGTTTGTGCCATATTTCAAGGCCGATTCTGCCTTGGTGGCCGGTACTGCCAATGTGATGGCCGTGAATGCCTTTGATGATAAAGCCGTGACTGCCTTTGATGATTGATAAGGCCGAGATTGCCTTATGCTAATATGGATTATATGTTATTTTCTTTTTGTCGTTAACGCCATAGTTCAAGGCCGATACTGCCTTGGTGGACCGATACTGCCTGATGTGATGGTCGTGACTACCATTGATGAAAAAGCCGAGACTGCCTTTTGCGTATAAGGATTTTATGTTTATTTTCTCTCAGTTAAACAAGAACTCTTAAAAAGAATCTTTTATGTTTTGTATTATCTGTGAACAATTTTGTTGTTGCCAAGTTGATGTCATTTTTATTTTAGTATGTTTTAGAGTAATATTACTTAGAATATTAGATTGTTTAGTTGAGATGAGGACATCTTAAATTCAGGAAGGCCAAATGTAAGGCACTGTTTTAAAAATATGTTTGGTTTTGATTGTTTATATTACCATGATACGCTTTGAGTGATGTTGCCGCTATATTAACTTTGAATATTGCCATGTTGGCGAAATTAGGTATTTGAATGAATATAGTTAGTCAAGCTTGGTAATTGAGCATCTCGGCGTTGCTTTGTATTTTAATTATTAAAACTCGTTGTTTTTGGAATTTAAACATTTGTTTTCTTGGATATTCTTACAATAACTTATATCAGTGTGGCGAAAATTTAAATTTACACTATTTTAGAAAACTAATAATTTCTGTTTTAAGCTTTTAAAATGTAAACTGATGCAGTCATTAGCGCTGATAAATTCATGCATATGAAAACTCGCCTTAACAATTCTGCAAACATTTCACCTTTCACCCAAATACGTATATCACACGAGATACTGCGATCTCTGTCTGTTATGTCACTATAAGTATATTCCCCGTCTTTAAATTTCCGTACCTGTATATTTTAATTATTACTTTTTACTTTTAAATATCTAGCTGACATTGAAAATATATTTTTAATATATTATATTGTTTCAGCTTGTTTTTGTCACATTTCTAATCCAAGCTAAAAAATCCCTTTGTTTCTAAAGAATATTAATAAATAATTTACGAGTCTCGTTTTATTGCCACAGTGCCAGTTTTTGTTTCAATATTTCAAGAGGATCGGAACTTCAAAGAGATATACATCATTGTGCATAAATAAATGAGTAAAGGGTTCCATAAAACACGTTTCTCACATGAAAATTACTTATTTATCTATGTGAGAATATTTATGAATTTCTGTTTTTTTGATGGCAATATACGGGGCGATAACAAAGTTATATAATAATTGATGTTATACAAGGCGAGTCAGGGGCGTATTTATAAATGTCCTGCCTATAGGCTGAACCAAATCGCCGCCTATATATGCTATACTTTTTACAAAACAAAAAATATGTACTAAAATATGGATTACGAAAATTATGCAAACAATTATTAGAATCACATAGAATGCAACAAAAACTTAATTATAGCATATGAGGTGTAATGTAGATATTAATGTAAGTAAAGCAATTTCTAAAGGGTTAATGGAAATGATTCCTTTTGGAGGTCACTGTATTTCAATTTCAATTGATGGGGCCAATGAACTATGGAGAAATGTTCAATCATATATTATAGCATATGAGGTGCAATAGATATTAAAAAAAAAAACGCATTTCCTTTTGCTCGCATTACACACTTTTTACCTGAATTTATTCTCAACCAAAATTTTGGTCATTACATCAAATGACATCGAATTCGCAGTTTCAGATTCGGCTAAATCGTTCAATCTTCTTTCGGACATGCTTAAGCCCAACTAAGAACAATTGCTTAGTGCTATTGATTTGTAAATTCATTAAACTGTATCGATATTAGGAAATATATCAAGCAGATTCCGATCTCTAAACTGGCTTCACGAAATAGCGCTTGTCAAAATAAAACTATTGCTTGAGCCCCTGATCAAAATAGCGCTAAACGAAATAACGCCTACATGAAATAGCGCGTGTTAAAAGACCTCTTGAACAAAATAGCGGGTATTAGAAGAGCAAAAGTTAAACCAGCGCCTTAAGAAAATAGCGCCTTTTGTAATAGTGAATACTGAAACAGCATCAGTCCGAAATGCCTCTGTCACGAAATAACGCCTAACGAAATAGCGAGTTTCAAAATAGCGTTATTGTTTTTCCATAAATTGATAAAAAAAACTTAGCAAATTTACCTAACCTGTGCAACCTGGACCCATTTTATGTATTAATATGCGAATCAACCCGCGATGACTCCAGGCCGCACAAGTTAATTAAATTAGTTTAGTTTTAAGCTATTGCATAGCTTTTATCGCGGGCTTTGAGCGCGGCGATCGAATCAAGAAATTCCGTAACACCGTAACGAAAAAAAACCTAACACCCCCACTCCGACCGGCACAGCGGTGCGGTGTTAAACAATATTAAATTCTCATTTTTTCAATAAAAGACAATCGAAAAATCGTAAAATCGTAAAATAAAAAAATCGAAAAATCGAATAATCGAAAAATCGAAAAATCGAAAAATCGAAAAATCGAAAAATCGAAAAACCGAAAACCCGAAAAATCGAAAAATCGAAAAATCGAAAAATCGAAAAATCAAAAAAGAAATTCCGTAACGAAAATAAACCCAACACCCCCCACTCCGACCGGCGCTGCGGTGCGGCGTTGAAAGCCGTGCATCGTCTAACGTCGTTTCAGTTCGGCAGACTTCGGCACGGTGTTTGTGTGCGTGCGACTAGAAGTATGCGTGTAGACTAGCTGCTAACTGCTCATAACTGATTCTATGGGACCACCATTGACGCGGTATTTTCCAGATATTTAGAGGATATCAAGTCTCAAACTTATGTTTCTTATTTCAGTTACCATAAACCTATAGTTTCAATGATAAAAATTCCTGAATAACCTACATGTATTGTAAGATAATAAAAATATTTTAAACAATATTGACTTCTCATTTATTCAATAAAAAAAAAATTGTTTTCTTATCGGTCACCACCACTGATCTGTATTATTTTACTGGATAGGATATAGGCTATATTTAACATACTAAAAAACCGTTCCACCAAGGAGACCGGAAGTGCAACAATGCTGGCCGATTTGGGCAAATTATGGTGGGTTCACAGAACTGAAATTTGGGATAATTTGACATACCTAACCTATAATTTGATTAGTTTTTATTCTTATTCTTCTTCTATTCCTTTTGCGGGCGATGTCCTTTGGGAAAATTCACCCATGATTTGATTTTTTATGAAAGAAAATATAAAAATGGAAACGTGAAGCATATTGTGTCTTCAGGAATAAACGTTTATTGTTTATTTCATACTCTTTTTACTTTGTTTTCCACAATAAAAACATCTCATCGTAGCTTGTTGACACAATTAAATGACAAATGTGATGACAAATGGAAATAGAGGTTACGTTAAATAACATCCGGTCCGCCATATTATTTGCCCAAATCGGCCAATTTTTCGGAACGTTTTTTAGGGGGCTATATCCTATCCAGTAAAATAATACAGATCAGTGGTCACCACGCTCAAAAAATGTAACTTGAATTAATATCAAAGAAAAAACTTGAATTAATATCAAAGAAAAAAAATACTGCATAAATAAAATAAATAAATAATTATAATTGGATAAGTTGATAGAAAATAGCAATAGCAATAGCTTTACCGCGGCAGTCCCCGAGTGCCACACGTATTTTTTTTTTAATCGTTTTATATTAATTTTTCTTTGTCCTTATTTTTACTTATTTTAAAAAGCGCTATTTCGTTCGAGAATTGTTTTGACTGACGCTATTTGATGAGCGTTATTTCATTCGAGCGCTCTTCTGATACGCCCAATGTTGTTAAGGCGCCCTTTTGATACGAGATATTTAGTTCAGGCGCTCTTTTGATACGCGCTATTTCGTTCAGGGGCTCTTTTGATACGCGCTATTTCGTTCAGAGGCTGTTTTGATATGCGCTATTTCGTGACAGAGCCTTCTAATCCAGTTGCACATATTGTTATTTACACGTTTTTGGTCTTCTAGTGCCAATTACTCTTTGAGGTGTCAGATCTCTTCAAATAGATCAGTTGAAATATCCTGTGATTAAACTTCATATAATTTCTTATTTCTCCAACAAAGAGTTTAAAAAGAACATAGAAAATCTCGAATACTATGTCGTGTGGACATTTTGGACGATCTAATTTCGAGATAAGATTAATCAATCCACAATTATGGTAAAACAACGTTTATTTTGAAATCATCCAAAGATCCAAACAATTCTTCTTCATAATCGTCGCTTTCATCGACATGTCAATTCTGTAGTGTAATTCTGCTTACCAATCAACGCCTTAGATTCCTCTTCAGATATTGTGATGTTTCCACGGGAAGACGAAATAAATGAAATAAAAGATTTGTACAAATCGATGACCAATCTAATATATGCGTCTTCCTGTTTTAGTTTTTTACTGACTATATTGATGTAGAGTTGCCACCTCTTGTTATAGGACAAACCTCACTGTTGGCGCCGCTGGAGAGCCGCCGGAGACAAACAATTATTGTTCAGTTTTATTTTTTATGTATATTTTTTGTTTGACTTAGCTACCTACATCTAAAAATTTTTATATCATCTTTAATTTAATCTAAAAATTGTTTACAGTTTTCTATAAAATTAATATTTATCAACAGCACTGGCTATTGTAGCTTAAATATCAAGCTAGCATGGCCAATGTTTCTTAGTAACGGCAGGAGAAAAAAAAAATAAACATTGGGTTAAAAATTTCAAATTTAAACGTAGAAATATCCTTCGATTAAAAATTCACCGTACGCCTAGGTATTCTGCCCACGCGCGATAGTCATGCTATCGTCTTGGCCAAAGACCGGTAGAGAGAATTCTGTTTTTTGTGAACCGTTCGCCATGGTATCTACACGAAAAAATTAATTGTAACTTACTATCTTATAGTTATGTGTTTAACTATTTATAATAAAATGTATCTCGTGTCGCGTTGAAAATTTTGTGTTCCCAGTGGCTCAAATCAGAGGCTCACCATTGCTCAAATCAGAGGCTCAAATGAGTGGCTCACCATTGCTCAAATCAGTGGCTCACTATTGCTCAAATCAGTGACTCACCATTGTTCAAAATATCCACAAAATTGCACTTTGTCGAAGATCGTACGAGTTTTTGACAATCAAATGAAAACTGGAGGTTATAGTTGTAGCGAGCTTATATCTTAGACAACCAACTATACAAATATGTTAAGAAATGCCTACTTATGGGTACTGTGAGACGTTATTTGGATATTGATTAAGTTTAAGAAGCAGAAAAAAATTTTAATTACGTGAAGACAAATATGGGTTCGTATGCGGTAGAGGGTTAATGACCTAAAATAATTTTTTAAATTTGTAGATTTTCGTTAGTGAGTCGTAGAAAAAATATACTGTAGAACTCGAGTGGATTCTCTATATCCACTCTTGTTGCACAAACTACTATTCCGATAATAATAATAATGCTTACGATGCCAACGGTACAAAACGGATACATGACATATAAAATCCAATGAAGGAATCATGACAATATATACAGGGTGGCCCATTAGTGTGTATAAGTCCAAAATCTCGATTGTTTTCGAAAATACGAGAAAATGTCATATACAAAAGTTTTACAGTTCACAGAGGCGCCTATTATAAAAATGTTCCAATATACAGGGCGTCCCCAAAAATCAAGGAAACAATTTTTTTTTATTTAATGGAACACCCTGTACTTATTTTTGAATTCTAGCAAAAATATTTTTGTCTAAATTTAATTGTTTTCAAGCTTTTGACATTCTAAAATGATACTTTTTCATACTTTGACAAGCTGTAGCACCCAAATTATGATAAAACGGTCTACATCTACAAAACTTAGTTTTTTATTCTGTATACAAATATGCAAGAAGATAACCCACTTCTACTGTAACCAGAAGTTGGATTTTTATATTCAATTAATCCAAAAGTTCGCATATCTTATGTTATGTTATGTTGAGAATGGGGTGTTAATACACTGCGACCTAAAAGATCTATTGTGCCCCCTTCTGTCGCCACTGCACTAAGGAAATGTCTCAATGCCTATAGCGACCCTTCCAATCCTATTTTCTCAAGGAAGTGTAGAATTTGAAGTGGCTTCAAGTTAGGTAAATCTCCCTCTTCTATTTGATATCCTCCTAGATATAGTGCCCTTGGATTCTGGAGTGCTACACATTCAGTTAGGATGTGAATGGAGGTTTCGTCCTCCTCCTCCTCACAAAATCTGCAATCACTATCCTCTACTACTCTCAGTTTACTTAGGTGTCCTTTTAGTCGGCAATGCCCGGTAAGGATCCCTGTTACAATACGTAGCCTGTTCTTGCTCAGGCAGATGCAGGCTTCCGATATTTTCTGGTTATATTCACCCAGAAGTATATTGGCCTGTCTCAGCCCCAAGAGATTGTTCCAATTATGGGTTCTTCTACAGCCCAATTCTTTTTTAATCTCTCCTAATATTAAGTTACTGCTGATACCGCAGAACGGCTCAGGTCCTACAAAGGGTGTTTGAGCCCCTTTCCATGCAAGACTATCTGCAATCTCGTTACCCTGTACCCCGTTATGTCCCGGGACCCAAGTGAGAGTAACTCTATTTTTCTCGCCTTGCTCATTCAATTGTTCTAGGCATCTCCAGACCATTTTTGAGCTGATTACGTAAGAGCTCAGCGCTTTGATGGCTGCTTGACTATCGGACATGATTTTAATCTCTTGTCTATGATAGTTTCCCTCGATGTTAAACTGGATA